GGGGCAGCTTCCACCCCTGCAAAAAAGTTCAGAAGCTGCTGCAAGTCATTTTACCAAAGCGGAGCATCATCCCCTCTACACAAACATATCATCATCTGTGTCCTAACCTTCGTGAGCTGGGCTTTCAGATCCCGCATATCGGCTTCCAGGTTGCGTTTCTCGCCCAGCGCTGTGGAAATGGTGGCATCCTTCGAGTTCAGAAGCGCCTCCAATTCCTTCAGGCGAGCCTGAGCTGTCAGCAGGTCGCTCTCCTTCTTCTTGTGCCTAAAAACAGAGAGGATTATGGGTAAGCACAGGACTTTGCTGTCCATTTCACAGAAAGAGGCGGATGGGATCAGGTGTGTTTTCTATGAAAGGAACAAATGTGGATTTGTGGTACTGTAAATGGAAAGCGGGTTTTCAGTGGGTACTTATTGTGAATGGAACCTTCCGTTTAACGGAATTTGCTGAGATAAAATCAATTTGATGGAAAGACGGCCATCAATCGGACCTTTTTTTCAAATTCTTTATTGACTGAATCAATGTCATAAAACACAATAACAGTGGATACGATGAGGTTACAATGCTCACCGGCTCCGCAATATAATAGACTGTTGCACATTTATCTTATCTAAGCACATTATATTCGTTTGCTGCTATAGTCTACAGAGTTCCATATCTCTATGTAAGAAAGAACCGTATCTCAACATTAACCCTGTAAGTAGCTGTATCTCGTGGTTAAAGAAGGAGCAGTAGAAAGCGCAGATAGAAAAGAGGAGGAGGGAATGGGTCCGGACGGGGCCTAACACACCCTTCAAGGGTCCTGGTCGCCGTCCTGAGAGCTCCGGAGAGGGAACTGCGCCGAGGCTCTGTAGCACAACCATGGACCCCAGGTGGTATTGAATTGGGCTTCAGTATTTTTCAATGAGGCTGTGAGGTCTTCCAGTAGATAGATATCCTGGACCCTGGCGAGCCATAGCCGGACCGTGGGAGGCTGGGGGTCCCGCCACTTCGGGGGTATACAGGCTCTGGCCGCATTTACCAGATGATGAGTCAATGGGGTTGATTTACTAACCTTATAAACACACCACGAACATGTATACACCTCTGTAGTGTGTTCCCTCCCAGCATGATCTATGGGTGGAATCTAAACACCTTTGTAGTGTGTACACACCCAGCAGGTGTGTTGTGCAAAGCCCTGCATGAATTTGCAAGGTGATGTTGTGTAAATTAGCTCTACGTTGTGTTGCTTGCGTTGATGAATGCGGGAATGTAAATGCATGAGCTAACCATTTTTGTCTAAACTGTGAAGCAGCATTATATATGCATCATGTGCATGATTTTTCCATATATGGCATTAGTGGAAATATGCTTTTAGAGACTTTTTGGTTGATAAATACGTTTTGCTGTGTAAAAATCACACTCACCTAGTGCGTGCGTGTGTTTAGGTTAGTAAATCACCCCCAATGAGTGTCTGTATTTCGAGGTCGGGCGGTGGGTCAAATGGAGCAGACAGGCCGCTGGGTTACCCCTAAGGTCTGCACCTGTCAGGTGCTCAATTATCTCCAGGACCCCCTCCCAAAAGAGCCGTATCCCAGGGCAGTTCCAGAAGATATGTAGCATTGTGCCTGAGTCCCTCCCACATCTCCAACAAACATCCGGGATCAAACTATTCATCTTGTGGAGCAACCACGGGACCCTATACCAGCGTGTCAGGATCTTATAGCCTGACTCTTGGTATCTTTTTGCTAGAGAGGCCTTGAGGTCTCGTTCACACCTAGGCGTATTGCATATGCGCGACCGTCCCTCGTTTTTTTAACCGCGATTCGTGGTAAAAAAAAGTCACGCGTTTCCGAAAGGCTACTTGGCTGTGTCCCAATGGAAACGCGCAACAAAACGGCCCAAAGTAGTACATGTACCTTTTCAGGCGTGGGCCGTTTTGTAGCGCGTTAGGGACGGGCGGAAATACGCCAAGGTGTGAACGAGACCATTGAATACAATGGGATTTATATTTTTGAGCGTTTTGTAGAGCGTTCGTCGAGCGTAGAACGCGCTACAAAACGTTCAGGTGTGAAGGAGGGCTGAATGTCATTTCCAGGATAATCTCTCTTTGTCTGTCTGTGAAGCTACATTGTAGCTCCGTTTCCCAGTGTTGTAGGAAATGCAATGGGATGTCATCGGTCGGGTCCTGTAGCAATTTGTAGAGTTGGGACACCGCATGTCTGGCGGGGAGACTACCCGTACATAACTGCTCGAAAACCGTCAGAGGTCTGTCTAGCTGTGGCGCGTTCGGAACAGCTCTGAGGAAATGTCGCAACGAAAGGGAGCCCCAGAAGTCCAGAGGAGGCTTAGTAAGGGATTGTATGGATGCAAGGGACAACCATTCTCCAGAATGTCTGAAGTCAAGCAAGCGAAACTTTGAGGCATTAAGGAGTGAGCGGCGCAGGCGACCATTTTGCGATCCATCAATCGGACCTTATGCACAAAAAAGAACAGTAATGCACAACCACTGTATTGCACTACTACGCAGGAAACTTTGACCCATTAACTGTAAAAAAATAAATAAGTCAAGGCAACTGGACTTGCTGTATTTTTCTTGAAGATGTTTCACTAGTCATCCAACCAGCTTACTAAATTCAGAATTGAGAAAGCTGGTCGGGTGACCAGTGAAACGTCTTCAAGAAAAATACAGCAAGTCCAGTTGCCTTGACTTATATTTTACAGATACAGTATACCATGTGACCTGGATGAATGAGAACCTTCACAGACATACTTTAACCCAATAAGCTGCTCTCATTCACAAATACATACAAAGGGCGATAGCTTGCATTGATTCTCTGCGGTTTGGATCCCATACCCCGCATTTATAAAACATTACGAGAGAAGCGCCATGCTCGCCCGCCCCGGCCTGACCACACCCTCCGCGCACCCCGGGCTCCTATGTGATAATCCTTTTATATTGATTTTTCTGCCTCTGCTAGATGCAATTATGGGAAGACGTAGAGGAAGGAGCAGGAAGCACAGCGTTAGATGGCCGGGACCTGCAGGAGGATCGATACCTGGTCCGAAGATCCATCTTACAGGACGCTGGCAGGAAGCCTGGTAAGTGTAACACGGCCTGACTCTGACTGAGTACTGGAAGCACTATTGGTGCAGACTGTCCTAAAGGGTGTTAGAGGCCCATTTGTGGGCCAGGAGGGTGCTGGGACCCAGGAGGTACTTACTGCTTGATCCCAATTGCTCATTAGACTTTTAAAGAGTTTTATCCAATGTCTGTCTGTCTGTCTACCTATCTATCCATGTACCTACCTACCTAGCCATGTACCTACCTACCTAGCCATGTACCTACCTACCCAGCCATGTACCTACCTACCCATCCATGTACCCACCTACATATCCAGCCATCTACCTGTCTATCCATCCATCTATCCATCCATGTAACTACCTATCTATCCATCCATCTGCCTACCCATGTACCTACCTACCCATCTATACATCCATGTACCTACCTATCTACCTACCCATCCATGTATCTACCTACCCATCCATCTACCTACCCATGTGCCTACCTTTCTACCTATCTATCCATCCATTTACCTACCTACCCATCCATCCATCCATCCATCCATGTACCTACCTACGTACCTATCCATGTACCTACCTACCCATCTATCCATCCATGTACCTGTCTACCTATCTATCCATGTACCTACCTATCCATCCAGCCATCCATGTACCTACCTTATCCATCCATGTATCCATCCATCCATGTACCTACCCACCTATCTATCTATCTATCTATCTATCTATCTATCTACCTAACTATCTAATCTATCCATCTACCTACCTTTCCATGTACCTACCTATCTAATCCATCCATCTACCTACACATGTACCTACCTACCTAATCTATATATGTACCCACCTACCTATCTATCTATCCATGTACCCACCTACCTATCCATCCATCTACCTACCTATCCATGTGCCTACCTACCTATCCATGTACCCACTTACATACCTATCCCTGTACCTATCTAGCCATCTACTTATCCATGTATCTACCCTACCTATCTATCCATCCAGAATGCATAAATAAGTGTTTGCAACATAAGCAGTAGTTGAATGGAGGCCCCGAAAGTTCTTTGCGCACAGGGGCCCTTTGATGACTTAATTGATGAGTACCTGGAATTTCAGGTATCTCTAGGGCAGATCAATGTTGGATTTAGCAGGAAATGGGTTACAAAACCTGTTTGTTTTTTTTCCTTGGTGTCTTTGTTCCATTGAGCCGATGTGCCTCCACTTCCTGTCTCAGAAAAACAACAGGAAGTGAAAGTTAATCCCTCCAAAGTGTGGGGAAAATCCTCCCTTGGCCGGCTGTCACCAGAAGAGGGGTGAAGATCGCCGTTGGAAGATTTCCACTCACCCCCTGCTTTGATGATGAACCTAGAACCCGGGATCAGCCATCACTTTCGGTCTCGGTGACAATGGCCACCAGGATGAATAGAGAGGGTGAGAATATCCCCAACGGGGACACAACGGAGGTTAAATCCTGACAGGGGCTCAAATGTTCCAAATTATAATGTGGACAGAGAGCAGCTGAGCTATATACAGGTTGAATCCTTTCCCAGGCCCTGCTTGGATTGGACACAATGCGGCTGAACGGCGCGCACATTCACAAACACGACAGAAGGCGGTGTTTATATAGAAATCCCAGCGCAGGACATCGAAAGCGCATTCCTGATATTTTTAGCACAAATATTGGAGAAAAAAAAGAAAAGTGCAGTTTCCAGTAATGCGTTCGGTGGCGCGGCGCCAGATATCCAAGGCGGATACGTTTCGCTGCTTTCCAAGTTTCCAGCTGCTCGTCGTGAGCGCAGCGCCGGTGTTTATACAGAGATGTCCCAGCCGGAGGCACCCAGCACACCGACGTCATCCTGAGGACCCCCGGGTCTGCCGGCTGTCAGAGAATTCACCAACGTGACTGCTAGCTCCTCTGTCCCTATATGCACCGCCGCCTTAAAGGGAGACTGGCTTTGTTACTGGGTTCCTAATATCACTTTTTATATGACTGCGGAGAGCGGACAAAATAATGCAAACCTCATAACAGTACTTTAATAAGACTGAATGAGGAACAGCGGGGCCCATTAAAGCTCATGTTGTGATGAGTGGGGTCAGGGAGATGCTGATTTGATCCTGTGGTTGAAGGCGGGACCTTTGGCATTTTAGCAACTATCCTCCCAGGTGCCTATCTGCACCTTAGTAACTATCCTCCCAGGTGCCTA